TTGGCCGAATATAAAACTTCAGTTTCTAAGTTGTCTCCCCTTCAGTATTTCGAAAATCTTACTCAATTGTTCTTCTAATTGAAAAGATTGCTATTGAAAACTCTGATGTTTAATCTGATGTCAATCTTTCATACTGTAAACTCTTAGTTTTCTCTGTCTTGGATATCCCCAATTTCACTGTAATCACTGTAAGCATGGGTTTTCCATATCACTCTCCTTTAACAAATACTCCAGGGGCCTTCAATCTGAGGCCTTTTGTTTATCCATTCATTCATTCATGGAAAATTTAACACTCATTTCTCTAAGAAGTCATCCATCTATTTTTCCTTCTCTTTCTTTTGGGGATTCCTGTTCTCTGCATTGTCGTCACTTCTTCTGTTTCCATCGCTCTTGGTTTTTCCTTTTTCTATTTCTTTAAACTTCCCTTCTTCCTTCTGTGAGATTACCTCATTCCGGTCTTCCAATACACTTATGTGCCCTTTAACTATATGTATCCCTTTTGCCATGTTATCCTATTTTTCTTGTTCTTTATTTCAAATACTATACATTTCATTGTAATGTCCACTTGGTTTCTTTTCATCTGTTTCTTTGTTTTTTACATGGCTAACATTATCCTTTATCATTTCTAGCATGTTTTTAGGCTAATTTTAAATGTTGGTCCACTCTAATGTTTATGGTTCTGTTGGAATCTATAGTCTAATTTTTTTAAATAGTTGAACTTCTAAAATATCTTGTTCTTTGATATGTGCATTTATTTTTCTCTGGAAATGTGTATGAAGATAGATGTAGGGTGGCCCTCTAGGACTGAGGGGTTTTCTGGGATGATGCACTAAAAGCAGGACAGTCTCAGGTAAACCGGGATGGTTGACCACCTTACTAGACCTCATTCTGAGTCACACTAATTTGCTAAGGGGGTGAAAAAAAATGAGTTCTAGATTGGAGAACACAAAACTCAAGAAAACCACAGCCTGTTACTCCTAGGTCTATAATTAACCTTTTGTTCCCCAGAGAGAAGCTACATCAGGAGGAGCAGTCCTTAAGCTGTGACTCACCAGCCCAGGGAATCACAGCAGGCAGTGTGGACTGGCAAATGTCCTAAGTTGTTTAGGGCCTAAGGAGTTTTTTGAATCCTTACAAGCACAGGGCTTACGTGTGGCCCTGATTGTCCTTTTCAGTCTACTTGGACCAGACTGAGTCACCACACATGCCAGGACCAGGAAATCATTCTCCTGAGGCAATGGTGAGTGAGAAGCACAAGCAGATTTATAACAGCTACTTTCCTTTTTTATTCTCCCATGGTGAGGCTACTTGCTTATTGCCCCAGGTCTAAACCACCACTACCTTCTCCCATTTCCTTAAGTCCCCAAAAACCCATCATTACCAGGATTTTCTCATTGTTTTCTTCATATTAGGGTGTTTCACCCTATATATTATATTATATCCCACCAGCAATCTTGGCGGAAGGAGCAGTAATAATGTTATTTTGGCACCTTTATATCATGCATTTGTATAGTTGCACCTGACAATTATTTTATTGTAGTTGTTAAAAAACAAAAAGCTTCTTAGATATGTGAGAAAGAGCTTTGGAAATGGCAAAGCATGACAAATACTGGTTATATCATTATGAACAAGATTAACGTGTGTTCATATGCCTAAAGCAGCTTCATTTTTAAAAAAATATTCTTATATTTGTACAGAAAATAGCATTAGAAAAATTACTACACCCATATTTGACCAGAAGTCACATGATTTTTAACAAACTTCTGTTTTTTTTTTACAAGACTTATTACTGTTGCTATACCATTACATATGGCACATCTATGGGTTTTTTAAATCTCTATTTTGTGTCACTAATCTGTATTTTATTATTCCTTACAGCTTCTTTATTGAAAATATTTTTCTATGGCAAGGTACAAAAAAGCATTGTAGGAAAAACATTGTATATTAAACTATTTACCAAAATAGACTATCTTTATGTATTACTAGTCTATTGAAATTTTTCATTACAATCAAATTCCATTCAGTTTTACACAATGCATGTCAATAATAGCTACCATGAAAATAGCTACCATAAGCAAAAATTGTCTTTCCACCTGTCCTCACTTTTTGATACTCCTTTTCTTTCTACCTTTATTTGTGAAAGTTTGAACCCCACCTTATGATGGCCTCAAGTCCATAATTACTTCTTAGGATGATTCTTTTATGATGCCCACATTATAAATTATTCATTATTTGGAATAATGCCTTAATTTCAAATATATACTTGTACTCTTTTTCTTCTATGTTATTTTTCACTCTATTATTTTCATACAATTTACATTCTTGCTTTGAAACTTCTGGCTTCTGAATTTTTCCTGATAGTTGTCCTTAGAATGGCACTGCTACAGGGAAATAAATAATCAAATGATTCTTTATTTCCCTAATTTCACTCTTCCTGCCTGCTTTCTCCCTTTGTTCTTTTAGTTCCTTACATCTGGAGTTCTCCATTTTTTGCCTACTTCCTTCAAAACCTGACAATGGAGGTTGATTTTCCCAGACCGTTTTCCTTGATTAAGCCCTTTCCAGTTTACTCTATTTCTCTTCTTCTGTTTCCATCTCTCTTGGTTTTTCCTTTTTCTATTTCTTTAAACTTCCCTAGGAATTCATCTATAAACTATACATCGTATTATCTTGCACTTGGAAGAATTCACTTATAAACTATACATCGTATTATCTTGTTCTTGGAAAGTGTTTCTGTAATTTTATTCAGCTATTTAGTTATATATTCTGTAATGTTTTATTATTATTACATCCTTGCAATCTATGATTTTTCCTTCTTACAAGCATAAATTATAATTGTCATTACATAATGGAAACATGTAATCAGTTATTTAACATCTGTGTCTTCTGTTTATGTATATGTTTATTTACTGTTAGAATGCAAGGTCTTCAGGTGAACTGTCCATTGTATCCCCAGAGTCTGGAATAATATACATAGTAAGTGCTCAATAAATGTTGTAATGTCTTTGAAATACCACTCAGGATATTAGCAGAATAAAAGTGCTCACAAGTGCTTGCTAATTTTTTTAAATACCATTTTGTCTTGAATCCCTCATATTTTCTACAACAGTTGGGATATATCTGACTACAAGACACAGAAAACCTAACAGACTTAAATTAAAAGACACTAGCTGTTTACTTAGCTATAAGTCCAAAGGTGGGCATTTCTAGTATTGGTTTGACAGCTCAGTCTTATCTTCTAGGACCTAGATTCTTCTCATATTTCTAAGCAATCTGAAAACTTGCTGGTTTTCAACTTGACCATAAGGCATCACAGCCCAAAGATGGTGGCCAAATTCCCTTATTTCAATGTGCAAAAAGGAAGCAAGGGGAGTAATTCAAAACAATGGGCAAATCTTACTCTTGTCAGAAACCCCAAAATCCTCCAAATCTGAAGGACTTTATCCTGTTCCAAAGAGGAGAATTGAGTCATGTGCCTACTTCTAGACTAAACGTGAGCAGAAGGAAAAACACTGCCTTTAATGATTAATTCTGATTCATCTCTCTCTCTTTTTTTTTTTTTTTTAGAGAAAAAAAAGGGAAAGTGCTGGGTATGCGAGCCACACTGTTTGGCTGTGTGAACTGAACCACATTAAAGCTCTATTTTCCTCTGAACCTTAAAGCTCTCAAGATTTTTCAGGCTATTTCCTTTTCTTCCTATATTTTAATCATTAAGCTTTTTCCTTCATGAATTCTTTTCTCCTTAAAATTGCTGTTTGAAACATTTACTTTCCCAACCAAAAGGTTTCTTTCATTGATTTGGTTACAGATTCACTTAAGTTCTGCATTCAATTCTTTTCCTTTTCAAAAGTACTGAGATGACGTATTTTCAAAAGAGAAAGTTTATTTTTCCCCTCCTTTCCTTTCTTCATATGTACTTCAGTTTCTGAACTGTATTAGGAACCTCAGAGACCAAGAAAATGTCTTCTGCTGTCGTTACAATTGCCAGCAGCATTTGACAGGTGCTAAATGTACATGACTTGTCCTTCCCCTTTACGGTTAATCAGATACAAGTAGACTTCAATAGGAAGCAATACGAATCACGGTTTTATAGCCAAGAAGCACTGCTCACATTAAAATGCTCTCTCCTAACTTGTTTATATTAAATTCTTTGCATACTTGCTCCTTGCTGTCATCAGAAAGTCCCCAGAACACAGTGTATTTCCCACTTCATTCCACCTTTTCCAACATTTCACAGAAGCAAAGAAAGGAGCTAGGTTTCCATGGTAACACAAGTGTTACAGTGGAGGATATCTAGGCATAGGTGAGATGACTCTCAGGTGCAGTAGGGAGAGGAGAAATAAAGTTTTTCTTTCCTTTCCCCCCCAGCAATGCATATTCAAAGCTAAAGAGATCCTGAAGTGTCAGTGTACGGTGTTAATTTTTCACTATCATGCAGATTTACAGCTCCTGAGGAAAATTCAATTTCAAGTTATCTCATTTTTATTTTGTCTTCCCCACAAACAAATGAGTGGAGACATAAGTTTTTATTTCTAAAATCACTCTCATAATGGATAGTGCATGCTGGCACAGGAATGAACATGATTAAGGGATCAGGAGACAGACATCCATCTCCCACCCAAATCTTCAAAATTCTGCACTTGCCCTGACATGCTTTCTTACAGCAGCTAATCCCTCAACCAGCATTTCACATACAGCCTCAAATTAGGTAAGTAATATCATCCAAGATAGAATAAGTGAGAAAATATGCTATTTATCACGTTTCTTTTGCCTCTTAGTGATTAAAAATCTACCTTTATGGCAGCATGGAGAGTGAACGTTGAGGCCTGTAAAAATGAGAAATACAAATAAGGTAAAACTACCCCCAAGGGCTTTAGTCTCTATTCTTCTTATCAAGAAAGTCAGCATTGATGAAAGGCCAGGGAAAACAGCCTGAAAAATGTCAAAAAGCTCTCCTGCTCTCTGTTATGCTAACTGAAGTGAAGAGGGAGCCTACTCACTATTTTCTTTGGTGACAATTTCTCTCAGAGGCACTCCAGTCCAGAGCTTCTCAACTTCTGGGGACCTGGGAAATGAAAACAGTTGCTCAAGGTAATGTTCTAGACCCACAATCCCAATGTTAATTTCTATTTTTAAAGAAAGTCCCTGGACATTTATTCCTCACAAAGTGAGGTGTTTTAGTTCCACAGTAACGTAAGGTACTACACAGGTTGTAATGATCTGTACAAAGAGACAAAGTCTGATGCTTCTTTCTTGGCTCTCTTTAACTCCCCCACAAGCCTAGGAACAACTTAAACACCATGATGCACAATTTGGATCTTAGAAGAGACTGTCTTTCCCCTGAAAAGAAGTGGTGGTGCTAAGTTAAAGTAACCACAAATAAGCACACAAGTTTTACATAAAAGATGTGACTTCTAAAATATTAGGTGAACAACTGTATTCATCTACAACATCTCCTTGAAACACCTCTGCCAAAAAAGCAGGGATGTAAAGCATTCATGTGAACTCTCTTAATTTTGATTTACTTTTTCACATTACTAGGTTAGGATGAGATATCAGATCTCCTTTGGTTTCAATTCTCTTAAAACACACTATTCTTAATTCTTTTGTAACCTACCTCTCCGGCTGATTTCAGCGGCTCAAATATGGCCTGTTTTATCTTGACCATATATATAATCAAGAAATAACAAGTTGTGTTTATTACACATTTTGATAGACCTGCCCTCAATTATTTTAAGCAAAACCCTGGTATGTTTTATATTACAGTAATGTAAATATAAGCTATCAATCCTAATAGTGAGAGGGCATAGAACACTGCTAAATATAAGTACATTTATGTAGTACTTTGATAACTAACAGAAAAGATGATAAAAGAACACCTGGTTTTTCCAGGAACTCAGACCAAAGATGACTTTGTGGGAAGAGGAAAGTGAGGAAGTATGTCATGATCAAATGTTAGAACTTATTATTCCCAAGTAGTGTGAGCTAGCAATGGATGGGTGTAGCCTATCTGCGAAGGGCATAGTTGAAGGAAGGTAAACCCAACAACCAGTTATTACAAAATATAATACAGGAATAATTGTAAATGTAACTTCTAAATTTGACGTTATGGATAGGAAAGAGTGTGTAACTAAGATGCAATACCAGAGAGACTGGTAAGTTTTAGAACTGAGTAGTTAAAAAAAATGTTTTAGGGGGCACGCATGGAGGACCCATGCAACTGCTGCAGTATGTCTCCTTGAGGACCAAAATATTTCTCACCCTAAAGACAAAAGTCCCTGTTTTCTTTATTCAGCCCACGATTCAACCCACATCCCTTAACACCATTTCCACGCCCATCATTTAGGCAGATGCCACGGAGAGGGGGTTAAAAGCGGAATGTAACCCTCTCGCCTGCAACACATCTTGCTTCTTGCCAATATAGGGCACAGCAACCGGGCCCTCAATCTCTCACCCCTCCCAAGAACCTTCGGCAACCCTGTCTCCGTTCCACCGGCACTTGGTGGCAAGGGAATCGCAAATTCTGGTTGGCTCAGTCCAAATTCCCGTGATTCGTCCGCTCACCTACCATTGGTTGGCAGAGCATGCGCAGGAGCAAACCGACCAGCCTGGCCGGGTCCTAGGACGTAGGTTGGCTGATTCAGCGGCTAGACATTTCCTCCATTGGCTGATGGGTGAGCGTCACGTGGTATAAGTGGCTCTCTATTGGTCAAGAATGGTACCATGAGTTACAGTAACGTTGATCTGGTTGGTTGGGATGAAACCCAGCTTCCTAGTAGTTGCCCCAGCGAGCTGTTGCTATGAGGTGTCTGTGGGTCTCTGCTGTGAGGTGCTGCGATTCGGGGTTCCGCTCTCCCCGTAGCTAACAGGGCGTAGGAAGAGCGCGACATCAGTCTGGCACTGAAGAGGGGCAGGGCTGGGGAAAAGTGGGCGGGACGCCCGGCGACGTCAGCGGGCATGGGTCCGACTTCGGTGGTCTCTGGCCTCTGCCGCCTCAGGCACTGGGCCATAGGGACCTGTCACCTCTCTGTGTCTTGACGCTTAAAACAAAACTTCATTTCGTTGTGTTTATTTGTCCCCTTAAACAAAGCTTCTAGTTATGTTTATACAAATAAAGTTCTCCGGAATGCTGACAGACTTGCTGGTGTCAGGCAAAGTCCCGCACGACACGAACTCCTTTGAGATCTTGCTCGTCGTCCGCTCCCTCCCCGCCTCAGGTTAAAGCCTGGCGCTGCTCTGGCCCTGCTCTGGCCTCTCTAACATAACGTCTTCTCCAAATTCCACGGGAGAGATTCTCAGGTGGTTCCCGGCTCAGTAGGACGAACTGTGCAGAGTCAGTACGCAGCACCTCGAGTTCGACGGGGCGTGCGGATGGGGAGGGACAGAGGTATTGGTTTATCTAAGCAAGGGCTGAGGTGTTCGCGCGGCGCAGTCTCCCGGGAACGCGCGCAGCAAGTCGCCTAGGCAACGGGGAGCAGGGGCGGGGCTGCCTCTCCAGGCCCCGCCCCGCCAGGCCCCGCCCCCGGCGGCGCTGCGGCTTGGGCTCGGGCGCGCGCTCCGGCGCCGGGGGAAGCGGCGGCGGCGGCGGCGGCGGCGGCGGCGGGCGGGGAGCTGGGCGTGGAGGCGTGAGGGGCGGGGCGGACGGCACTGCGGGCCCGCGGCTCGGGCGGCTCCGGCGGTAGAGCTCGGCGCTCGTCCTCAGTGCCTGCCGGCGCCCGCGGGCCGCACTGCCGCCCGGCTCGGCCCCTGCCCAGGGCTGCTGCTCCCTCCGCCGGCGCCCGGGGGGCCGCGGCGGCCGTGAGGTGGGGGCGGCCGCGGGAGGCGGCGGGGCTGGCCGCCGGCTCACGTTCCGGGGGCGCAGCGCGGCGGGCGTAGGTCTATGTCGCGGGCGGCGGCGGCGGCGGCGGCCGCGGAGGGACGATGCGCGAGTACAAAGTGGTGGTGCTGGGCTCGGGCGGGGTCGGCAAATCCGCCCTGACCGTGCAGTTCGTGACCGGCACCTTCATTGAGAAATACGACCCCACCATCGAGGACTTCTACCGCAAGGAGATCGAGGTGGACTCGTCGCCGTCGGTGCTGGAGATCCTGGACACCGCGGGCACGGAGCAGTTCGCGTCCATGCGGGACCTATACATCAAGAACGGCCAGGGCTTCATCCTCGTCTACAGCCTCGTCAACCAGCAGAGCTTCCAGGACATCAAGCCCATGCGGGACCAGATCATCCGAGTAAAGCGGTGAGAGGGCCGGGGGCGGGAAGGGGCTTCGCGGTGCGGCCGGCAGCCAGCGTCCCGGGGCCAGAACTCCCCAATGCTCGGGCGGCCGTGGGTAGGGCGAGCTGTCTGGGGAGATGGTCCTGGGGTCTGACGCTTTATAATAAAATTTTTGCCAGCATCACCATCCTCATCATCTGGAATCTCAAATTTGAGTGCTTTGTTTCACTACTCAAATTTGGCATCCCGTGGACCCACAGCACAGCTCTTTGTCTCTTGTATATTATTCTCAGCGCTTGTACAGAACCCCAAAGGAAACAAAGTTTAAAACTTGCTGGGGGGAAAGGGGTAGGTTTGTGTTGGGAAGAGGGGAGTTTCGCAAGTATAGTGGAGACGTTTTCAGATGGAACCCCTCAAAAAATCTACGTTTGCAATATTTGACAGCAAAATTGCTCACACATTGCTCACACATACATGGTAAAAATGCCAGGTCCGGAGAAAGAGACCTTTCTCATCTCGTAAAAGAGTGAATGGTGCCTAGCGGTTTGCAAAGGTAAACTCAATTAAGACAAAACTTTAAACACAGATGACCAGATTATTTGAAGGCATGTTAACAGCTCGGTGGGATTGAGAGAGTATTAGCATACAGGGGCACAGATATGCCATTCACAAAAAATGCAGACCAACTTTTTTTAATCTAGCTGCCTTACCCCCTCAGAAAAAGAAAGAAAAAGGAAAAAAAGGCATTCCTGGAAATAAAGTTGTTTTAAGGGTGTGATTCAAGTATTAGCTAATTTAAATGTAAAAAAGCTCCTTCCTCACATAAACTCTTTTTTCCTAAAGTGTGTATTTTGGAAATATGGCAGGTAGTTTAAATGGTTTACAATATTTGTTTTCTCTTAATTTGACTAAGCATATTTTTCCTATAATTTTAAGCATCAGAAATGTAACAATATCATACCTCAAAGTTTTAGCAAATTTTTCTAATTACTATTTAGTTGCACATTATTGTTTAGTCTGATTTTTATTATTAGTTTTTAATTGCTAATAATTTTGATTTAGTGTAATTTTCTTTTTCCTACTTATTTTTACCTGTAGTCCTAAATTTGAAGACATTTACTTAATGATAGTGTACTGTAGACACAATCACATTATAAAATCATTTTGAATCTATTCATTTTGAAAGAGCAAAAACCAAATCAACATATATCAGAGGGTGTTCAACAATTCATGACAAGAAATAAGAGTTTTAATGTAACATGAGATGAAAGGTAAGGCCCTCTCCCCTCCCACCCATAACTCACTGAATATGCACTTTAATAGTTAAACCAAAATTCTGTGTATTATTCTGTTAAATTTCAAACTAGAATAAAGTGAATATTCTCATGGCCTTTGTTGCAGTTCAAAGATCTGTTTTTGACATCTCCCGTCTCATTTTCTTGCAGTTAATTGCTATAGTCAACAAATGAACAATTTTTGTATTGAACTTAATAGGTGTATTACATTTAAGGGGCTACATTTAAGTGACTCAAATCCTTAACACTCCCCTGTTCCTGTACTACCCAATTTAAAAAAAAACAAAAAACACCAAACTACACACCAGGGCAGTCTAATACATTGTCACATGTCAATCTTAGGCCATATGCATACATTAAAGTAAATACTCCAACTGCTCCATCCTTCACATTTAAATTTGTACATATAATAAATACACTGATGAAGTCACATACCCAGGACAAACTTCTTGACACAGCCTAGGGGACAGAATTTGGCAAAATATCACTGAACAGTCCACATGATTTTGTAGTTTCTTATGATACAGTGGAGATTACTAATAATTAGTGTAAATTTGATGTCCTGGTACAATTTATTTGTTTGCACTGTGACCCAGGAAGTAAAAATAAATAAAATCCTGCTTGTGTAGATGTCATTTTATTCACTAGTCTCAGTTCTTGATATAAAAAGACCATGGATCAGCTGAAGTAGTTCATACACTCTTTTCACTGGAATTCATCCATTATATCCATAAGAACCATTTGGGCCCTTCTGTGTCTTGATATTTTATACCTCATTCTAACCTTATCATTTGGCTTCCCTGCCTATACCATATTATAAATAACTTACATTGAAAGAAAGGATCTGTATATATTATGTATATGATACAGTATATAATGCATATTTTATGCTAAAGCAAGCATTCAATGTGTTAGTTCTTTAACTGCTCCCACTTAAAGAGAATAAAACTTTTTTTCAAATAAGTGAATTTTCTCCTCTGTTTTGGGAATCAATCTTTAAGTTAAACAGTTGCTATAGGAGGTATTCAGTAATTGTTCTCTCTCCTCTGCCAGCTAGCTGCTTTACATATTATATGCAACAGTTGTTTGGAGATATATAACATCACTGGGATACATCACCAGATGACATAAGTGAAGTGCAGAGAGGTTTGGTATTTCACACAAGACGAGTCGTTGACAGATTAAAACCAAGAGCTGCGTGAATCCTTGTCCTTTTCTGTACCAGGCTGCCTTTGAACTTGGTATTTACTCTCAAATTCAATATCTAGCCTTTGGTCTAGAGCAGCACCATTCAATACAAATATAGTGTGAGCTACATATGTCCTTTAAAAATTTTTAATAGCTGATTTAAAAAAGAAAGCAGGTAAAATTAATTTCAATAATGCATTTTATATGACTCATGTATTTAAAATATTGTCATTTCAGTATGTAATCGCTATTCAAAAATTGAGACATTTTCTTTTTCATTCTTAGTTTTTACATCTGGTAATTTACACTTACAGCACACATCAGTTATAGACTAGCCGTGTTTTTGGTGCTCAATAGCCTCATGGCTACAAGCTACCATATTGGATAGCACAAGTCTAAGGTGTATAATTTGGGGAAAATGCTTGCTTCTCTAAGCCTCAGTTCCCTTATCTGTAAAACAGAGTATACCATGCTTCTATCAGAGTCTTTGTTAGGATTAAATGAGATAATCATTTTTAAGGTCCCCAATACAGTACCTTGAACACAGAAATTGCTCTAAAATTCCAGTTGTTCTTTTATTAATGACTTTGTCACTCTACCTTCTTTAAAACTTTATCCTTGATAAAAATGTAATTTTAGAGGAGATACATTTGTGATTGCATTTTGAAATTCATTATCTGAATGAGAATAAAAAACAACTGGGATTAAAACAGCACTTGGAAAAATGTTAGTATTCTTTCAAGATATTTTCCCTTATAATGGTCTTATAGGAAAGGACAGGAGAATGATTTAATTTCAAGTATAGCACCAATGCATGGCCAGACAGTGAAATAGTGTTTTTCATTGGATTGTTCTTATATAAAATGTTTTGCTTTTAAAAGTGTAATACATGCCTATACTCTGTTAAGGATTTACAGGTGTACAGACATTCATATACATATACAACCTCCTGTCTAAGCCAAGTATACCAACTAAAAATGGCTGTATTTATCAATTCATATGCTTTCTTCAACAGAACAGAAAGGTAGCCTATGAACAGTATGGGAGAATGTATTCATAAATGATTTATACAATAATGGGTCAACATCCAAAATATATCAAGAACTCATATGCGTCAACACCAAAAAAACAAATAACCCAATTAAAAAATGGGTAGAGGAACCCAATATACATTTTTCCAAAGAAGACATACACATGGGCAAAAAGCACATTGAAAAGATGCCCCACATCTCTAATCATCAGGGAAATGCAAATCAAAACCACAATGAAATACCACCTCACACCAGTTAGAATGGCCACTATCCAAAAGACAAGAAATAACAAATGCTGCCGAGGGTACACAGAAATAGGAACCCTCCTACACTGTTGGTGGGACTACAAATTGGCACAACTGCTGTGGAAAGCAGTATGGAGGTTTCCAGTAATTACACTTTGAGGAATTTACTCAAAGAAAACAAAATCCCTGATCCAAAAAAATAAATAAACCCCTATGTTTTTTGCTGCATTATTTACAATAGCCAAGATATGGAAGCAACCGAAGTGTCCATCAGTAGTTGAATGGATAAAGAAGGGGTGGTACATATATACAATGGAATATTATTCAGTCATAAAAAAGAAAGCTGCCATTTGTGACAACACGGCTGGACCTAGAGGGTATTATGCTAAGTTAAATAAGCCAGAAAGAGGAAGACAAATACCATATGATTTCACTTAATCATGGAATCTAAAAAAGAAAAACAAAAGGAACATAACAACAGTAGACTCATAGATACTGAGAAGTGACTGGTGGTTACCAAGGGGGAGGGGCTGAGGTGGGTGGGTGTGGAGGGTAAGGGGGTAAAGGGACACAAAAATTCTCAGTCATAATATAAGATGACCACAGGGATGGTAGTACAGTATGGAGAATACAGCCAATGATTCTGTAACAGATTTCTATCTTGACAGATGGTAACTGCATTAGTTGGGGTGAGGATTTAATAGTGTGGGTAACTGGTAAACCAGTTATATAACTGAAACTAATACAAGATTGTTTCTTACAAATTTCTTATATTTCTTATATACTTCAAGTATAGTTGAAGTGCATCAACTATACTTCAATTTTTAAAAAATAAATAACATACCTTTTAGTCTGGTAATTCCATTTGCATTATAGATAATAATGGAAATTTTAAAACAACTTAAATATTCAACCAGTAAACTTGCTATATCTCCCACAGAAATAGGTAGTCATAAAAGACTTACTTAGGAAGTTTACAACAGTTTGAGGAAATGTTTTTGAAGTGGACAAAACAAGATACAAAATTATTACACTATATGAGCACAACTATATAACCAAAAACTAAAAAAAAAGCTGTAAGAAAATACATTTAAAAAATGGTAATAAAATAATAATAATGATTCATATGCTTGCTTTTTTTAACTTTGGATGAGATGATAACACACAAGGAGGAAAGGGATATAGAAAATATTTCAACTGAAATAAAACTAGAATTCTTCATTTCATAATTACTTGTCCCATTCCTCCCAGGTTAAACCATGGTC